CTATACACCCGCACCTATAACCTATAGGTGAGTTGAAGAGACAACAATGTACCTAATTCCGATCTATATATAGATTTTTTTCGCATTAAAACTGTTCAAAACTTCTACAAAGACGTTTAGCTTTCGGAACACAGATTTGGAGTTCTATGCTGCATTCAATAATATGCAGCTTGCCTGGATTAAGCTCGTCAAGAGCAATCCCTTGTGAGTTACCGGCGAGCTTGTTGGCCAGGGGTCCTAAGAATACCGCGGGGTGAGTCACTAGTTACCTTGGCTTACTCTGACAAATGCGAAATGTGATTTTGTGAAACAATTTACTTCACGGCCGTATTTCAAACCGTGCTTGTGCTGAGTTATCCACATCTCAGTGCTTGTTTTCTTCATTACTTACAGTGAATGGTAACATACCAATGACTGCGGTGACACGTACTCCCCATCCCCACTGACCAGTGAGAGCTGTCACGCTTGAGCCAACGATGAATCCCAGACCACTGTAAAGATAAAATCATGATTGATTCTACTGATCAAACTTATGTTCTTCTTACTTTATCTTACATTACGGGCTACCTCATATTCAAGAGTTTTGCATAGAATCTGTGCTTTAACTATTCTTACATACCTGCCACAAGGAATGGCAAAATAGAACACCATTAGCATTTTGCTTCTATTCTGACTAGTGAACAAATCGGCTATCAACGCCGGAGAGACAATTGCATATGAAGCTTCGCCGACTCCTACTATTCCTCGAAAAAGAAGAAATAGCCAAAATTTCTGAACAAAGTGCCTTCTCCAGAAGCAAAGATTGAAGAAAGAACATCTCACATCTGCAGGAACAAACGTCGACGCTACCACTGCACCTACCCATATCGAAATACCAGCTAACATTATATATTTCCGACTATGCCTGAAGATGCACAGCATGTTAACAAGAACATGTTACAAAGAAGTTTACGCACCTATCACCTAAATAACCTACCAGTGGAGAGCAAAGCATGAAAAAGATTATGAAGACCGTTTGTAATAGACCTCCTTGAGCGTCATTAATGTGGTAGAAAGACTGTATGTTGGTCAGCACACCTGAAGCGCAACTTTGTTCAAAGTAAACTTTTCTCGATGAAGTTGATCACAAAATCCCGACCTGCTATAGTATACCTGTCCATATAATTGAGAAGGTTTACGCAAAATAATATAGTAACACTCAATATTTTTTTGGGATCCTGAAAGAAAGAAAATAATTTTGTGATCAAGGACGAAACAACAACAGCTATATGATGAGGACAAACCTTAAGTTCTGAAGTATATTTTTTATTATTCGAAGTGTTTTCTGACGTTGAGGGTTCATAACTTGTGGACGGTGTTTCACCCTTCAAATCTTTCGCGCGGGTCATCTAAAACTTCACCTGAAACAGGGCCAACAAGAGAATACAAACAAGTTCAGCATGATTGCTGAAGATGATAGAAAACGCTCATGAGAGTTTCACATTCCATGATTCGGATAAACATTATATCTTACAGACAGAAGCGCAGTTGGAGCTTGTTGCTGTCTTACATCAACGATGTGTTTATCGCAGAAAGCGTAAAGCTCAGGAAATAACGAACGTGTATATGCGCTAAAA